TTGAACTCAGGGCCTGTCTCTTGTGAAGCAGGTGCTTTACTGCTTATGCAGTGCCATTGGCACTGTTGGCTTGAGTTACTTTTCCAAGAGGGCCTTTCATTCTTGCCCAGCCCGGCCTGATCCAGGATCCCCGTTTTTACTTTCCAGTATAGCTGGGTTGGCTGACACCTGTTACTATTTGTTGAGATGGTGTCTCAAGAAGGTTTCCCCCAGGCTGGGTCAAGCTGTGATCCCTGACTATGATCCCCAGGTAGCTAGGATTAAGATGGTGAGCCACCATTCCCCGCTGCTTTGTTATTTATGAATGACTTATTTGATTACATGAACAAGATGACTTCAGAAAAGTAGGGAGTTCTGATTTTCTAATTTCAGTTCTAAACTTTAATTGGCTTTTCATTGTCTCGCCCCAGAGCTCAGAAATTCACATTCCTGATTAAACACTGCTGATATCCTGGTCATTGTTTTGGTTTGTGGAAATTTTGTAACATCTATCCATGAGAGTTACTTACATAAGCATACACACACAGACACACACACACACACACACACACACACACACACACAATGATAATACAACTTCAGATGCAGGGAATTACAAAAAAGTACCTTTCTAAATAAATCAACTGAAAACAATGTGGTTAAAATGGCAGAGATTTATAACTTAGTATTTAAAAAACAAACACATGTGCAAACACACACACAAACACGAAAACACACCTGGAAGTAATTGTTCTTTTTTAACAATGAATTGTGTGTTTAAACGTGAGTCAACCAAGCATTTCTGGGAGCTCAGCATTCATTTCTTTTGTCAAGTGTGCGACAAAAATTAGCTCCCCTGGTGACCCTAGCCCAGGCTTTCCTTGGAGGACTGCAAGTCGAGTGGGTACGCGGCCAGGAGGAGTCGTTCAGAGTACTTCCTCTCTTTTCTGAACGACATCTGGAAGCATTCCATTTCCCCCACAGCCCCGATGGCTGTCCTCATCCTCACTGAACAGTCTCGGGGAACTCACGAGGTAGCAGCTCTCTACAAATGCCTGAAGATTTCAGTTGCTCACAGGAGACGATCCCGTAGATCCACGGAAGTGCAGTGTCCTCAGGCTCCTCCGCTTCCTGCCCAGCATGTGGAGCTGTTTCCAGGCCGCGTGGTCAGATACAGAGCCCTCATTGTCCAGCAGGGGCTGCAGAAGAGGTTAACCTGAGAGTGGGTCGTCTGTCCTGGTGCCTTCTCGGGAGACAAGAGCTACTCCAAACACTGAAGGCGGAAGACTCCGTGGCTTAGGTCCAGCTTTCGTTAGACTTAGGAAAAATGAAGAGTCTGAGAAGCCAGATGCAGTCTACAGAACAGCAAGCATGGGTCGCGGTGGCTGGGAGACCAGGGCTGATTTTCATCAGCCTGATGTTTGGATCATGTTTTGACTAGAACATTTTGTTCTGAGTATCTTTGCTGAGATTATGACTTAAGAAGAAATCACTGGAAAGCAGAGGAAAAATGGAATTACTAAATATGCAAGCGAGCTTTGACTACAGTGTTAACAATGTTTTGACACAAATAACTTGATATATTTTTTCTGAGTTGCTACATGGTAAAAAGCAAAACAGAGGCAGCATCTGAGTGCTGGTGTCTTTCTGACTCATTAAGATAGAGAAGGTTGTTCTCTTCACATAGAAGGTCACTCTACCCATGTATATTTTATGTTCATACTCTTCAGTAGTCTTGAGTCTTAAGATCATTTAAAAACTCCATTAAATTTGAATTATAATAAAATGTCTATTTTTAGGTGAGGAGATTTGTAATTCAGGTATAAATCCCTTAATAACCTGAAACTTTAAAAACTGAGTCCGCCAGGTGCCCGTGGCTCACACCTGTGAGCCAGAGGCTGAGATCTGAGGATCGTGGCTTGAAGCCAACCCAGGCAGGAGGAACTACCAAAAATGCTCAGGGACAGCACCCTGGCCTTGAGTTCAAGACATAGCACCGTCCAAAAACAACAACAAAAAATCATAACAAAACGGTAATTGTGTATTCTGTGCACACAACTGTGACACAGTTGGGTGTTTCACTCCTAACTGCACAGTGACAGATCTGTTCGCGTCATTTTGCCAGTGCTCTAAGCAGCGTTGAATTGGTGTTGTATAGGATGTGAATTGTTCTTTAAACAAACAGCAAATAATGAGTGGAATGAATGGTAAAACGGGAGGAAATGCACCTCCTGCAGCCAGAGAGAAAGGCATGCTCTTGAAGAGTGGGAAGAGCTGGGGGCGGGCCAGGACGCTCAGAGTCCGCAGAGTGGAGCTGGGGGTACTGGAGGATGAGGGCCGCCAAGGCCCCGCCGGCCGCAGCTCATTCAAGACACAAGTGCCAGGCAGCTGGAGCTCTGGGCGCCTGGGCCCTCTGCTCCTTCTGGAATATTCCCCTGTGGCCCTCTCCGTGCTTCTCCTGAACAGCGATCCCGCCCTGCCGTAGCCCTGCCCGAGTGGAAGTTCTGAGACGTTCTGCGAGCTTGAAGCTCCCTTCGGTGGATTGAAAATGGAAGACTGAGCTTGGGAATGGCTGATACGTCCCCACCTCCTCCCAGAGAACAGCACGCAGTATCCAAGATGCTGGTTAGACTTCCAGACATTTAGGAATTAAGTAAGTGTCAGACTTTTATTAAAATAAAATAATAAATTCCACTGTGACCTTTTGAGAAAACAATAAAAGTGTCAGAAGAAACAAGGGGCTGTGGAGCCAGAGGACTCTCCTGCCATCAATAACCAGGCTTCCTGCTCCCCACGGCGGAGGGGACAGTAAACCATCTGAGACCAAGTGATAGAGAAAGCCATCAAACGACCACTTGTAAAAGCTTGCACCCGCATAAAGTTAATGAGACATTTTTCATTGATGTATCTTTGTTTGCCCGTTGTTTCTGAATGTTTTCTTCTCTAAGTAGAAAGCTTAAGGCAGAGATAGGAAAATACTTATTCTAAGCAATGATGATAGAACAGCCGTGTTTTAGGGTGCTGGTAACTGAAAAGACTGGCTCTCGGTGTGCAGAGTGCTTGTTCTGTACAATGCCGGAGGCATTACTGTGTGGAGCTCAGCGCGCCCAAGTCTGAGGCGGTGCACAGATCCTGAAGAGACATCTTGTCTTCACTCTACCAACCCGGCGACCTCGAAGAACATGGAGGATGTGGGTTGGGACAATGTCCACTGAACTGGGAGGTGACCCGCAGTGAACAGGAATGCTGGCCATGACTGACGTTGTCCAGGGCCTCGTCTCTGCAGCTGATGTGTGTGTGTGCAGACATGAGATGGAATACAGGTTAAGGCATGGTGACCAGTCTCGAAGATTCTGGGCTTGTGTGCAGTTTAAGCACCAGACAAACCACCCAGTGCTTTTCTTCCAATCTTCACACCCAGCGTGAACGGCTGGCCTGCCCCAGACTTGGAGACACGCCCATACTCACACTGCGTTCACACTCAGGAAACGTTCTTAGAAACCTACACCATCCAGCTCCCTGCACCTGCATACGTGGGAAGCCGGGGGCCCAGTGTGTGAATTTGGGGCTCAGCTGTTCCTGATGGCCTCCCCCACAGGACCTGCACAGCCCCTGAGGGCGTGAGGCACCCCCCGAAACAGATGGCGGATTCACTGAGAGCCTGGACGTGATGGCACACGGGTGGACGATGCACGGAGTGTGTATTTTTATACCTGGATCACTTGTCCAGCGGACATTTCCAACGGTGTGTTCTGGGGTTCAGTGCTTAGCACACCTCATTTGATGGAGACAGTCCAGCCTCAGGGCCACAATGGCTCAGGGCCCCAATGGCCAGCACTCCCCGGCTCTTCATTCTGCTCTGTTCCGGGACAAGAGCACCGCTGCGCTAGACTTGACAGCCGTGCCCCAGCACCGGCCTGCTGGCCACACCAAGTAGGACACCACGAGGACAGGCCAGCACTGGGCAGGCTCTAAGGACAGGTGCAGCCCTGGATTCTCTGTAGATCTGGTGGTATGCAGGTTTGTGTCCCTGTTAACTAGCCAAGGATTTATCCACACCGGAAGCCTGGACCATCAGGCACCCTGCCCTATCCCCTCCCTCCCTCCACACCCGCAGAGAGCAGCCTTGTTTTTGTGCGGTGATGGGTCATCCTCCTGGCATTTGGGACACCCTGAATCAGACAGCCTGTATCTCTTCGGTGAGCCCGATTGGTAGTGAAGCGGGGACGGTGTGATGCTGCGGGGAGCCCGCGGCGTGGCGGGGCACATCCTCACAGGGACGCTCTGCTCTCCGGGACGGAGCTGCACCACCCCATCGGGCCTATTCCAGAAGACCGCGGTGACATTCCTTTGCCAATCTAGGAAGTGCTTTCCTCGGCATCTCAGAGCAAGCTGATGGGGAGAGCTGGCTTGAAAGTGAATTTCATGTGTTGTTTTGGAGAAGGAAAAGTCAGGCATGTGAAGGAGAGTAGTCCACCCCAGCACGCTCATTTATTTGTTTATTGTTAGATTAGTGGTGATGGAAATGTGCGTTATTCTGAGGCTGAGAACCGCACCTTCCAGGGTTCAGGGTGACGGTGGGTCTGAAGCCCCCAGGAATGTAACAATCCAGTGAACAAACAACAGCGAGCGCTGTTTCCTACTGTGATACATACATACATACATATATCTAATTAATTAATTAACGAACAGCTAAATAGCCTGGAGCTGCACGTGGCTACATCTGCATCCTGCCGTCCTGTGCCTCCTTAACGGGGTCTGTGTTGAGCTAGGCCTGGTGCAGGAGTGGACGAAGCACACGTGGGCAGAGGGACAATGGTGTCCCTGTCCCTGCCACAGTTCGGGGCGCCTTGGGGAGGAAGGCAGGGCTGCGATTTGGGGGCCTTGTGAGCCCCACAGTCACAGCTCCTCAAGGGGGGGTGACTGGTGGGGGAGGGGAGGGGACGGGTGGGGAGGCACGTGGCCCACGGTGGGTCCCAGCTGCTCCCGCCCCGCGCCCGCTCACCCCGCGCCCCCCGCAGGCTTCGACCTGGTGAAGTGTGAGGACCCCGGGCTGCCCAGCTACGGGTACAAGGTGCGCGACGGGGGCCACTTCGCGGACACGGAGGTGGAGTTCAGCTGCAGCCCCGGCTACGCCATGCACGGGAGCGGCACGCTCACCTGCCTCAGCGGGGACCGCCGCGTCTGGGACCAGCCGCTGCCGTCCTGCGTGGGTGAGTGGGCGAGCGCCAGGGCGGTCCGCGGGGGAGAGTGGGGTGGGAGAGGGAGCTGCAGGGTGAGTGGGGTCCGCGGGGGAGAGTGGGGTCTGCTGGGAGAGGGAGCTGCAGGGTGAGTGGGGTCCGCGGGGGAGAGTAGGGGTGGGAGAGGGAGCTGCAGGGTGAGTGGGGTCCGCGGGGGAGAGTGGGGTCTGCTGGGAGAGGGAGCTGCAGGGTGAGTGGGGTCCGCGGGGGAGAGTGGGGGTGGGAGAGGGAGCTGCAGGGTGAGTGCGGTCCGCGTGGGTGAGGCCCGCATGGGTGAGGCCGGCATGGGTGAGGTCCCGCGTGGGAGAGGTTCACGTGGGTGAAGATCTGCGTGGGTGAAGATCTGCGTGGGTGAGGTCCATGTGGGTGAGGTCCATGTGGGTGAGGCCCGCGTAGGTGAGGTCCATGTGGCTAAGGTCCATGTGGGTGAGGATCTGCGTGGGTGAGGTCCGCGTGGGTGAGGTCCATGTGGATGAGGATCCGCGTAGGTGAGGTCCATGTGGGTAAGGTCCACGTGGATGAGGATTCGCGTGGGTGAGGTCCGCGTGGGTGAGGTCTATGTGGCTGAGGATCCGCATGGGTGAGGTCCATGTGGGTGAGGATCTGCATGGGTGAGGATCCGCGTGGGTGAGGTCCGCGTGGGTGAGGTCCATGTGGGTGAGGCCCGCGTAGGTGAGGTCCATGTGGGTAAGGTCCACGTGGGTGAAGATCTGCGTGGGTGAGGATCCGCGTGGGTGAAGTCCATGTGGGTGAGGTCCATGTGGGTGAAGATCTGCATGGGTGAGGATCCGCGTGGGTGAGGTCCATGTGGGTGAGGTCCATGTGGGTGAGGCCCGTGTAGGTGAGGTCCATGTGGGTGAGGATCTGCGTGGGTGAGGTCCATGTGGGTGAGGATCTGCGTGGGTGAGGTCCACGTGGGTGAGGTCCGCGTGGGTGAGGTCCATGTGGATGAGGATCCGCGTGGGTGAGGTCCATGTGGGTGAGGATCTGCGTGGGTGAGGTCCGCGTGGGTGAGGTCCATGTGGATGAGGATCCGCGTGGGTGAGGTCCATGTGGATGAGGATCTGCGTGGGTGAGGATCCGCGTGGGTGAAGTCCATGTGGGTGAGGCCCGCGTAGGTGAGGTCCATGTGGGTAAGGTCCACGTGGATGAGGATTCGCGTGGGTGAGGATCTGCGTGGGTGAGGTCTATGTGGATGAGGATCCGCGTGGGTGAGGTCCATGTGGGTGAGGATCTGCATGGGTGAGGATCCGCGTGGGTGAGGTCCGCGTGGGTGAGGTCCATGTGGGTGAGGCCCGCGTAGGTGAGGTCCGCGTGGGTGAGGTCCATGTGGGTGAGGATCTACGTGGGTTAGGATCCGCGTGGGGTGAGGATCCGCATGGTTGAGGTCCATGGGGGTGAAGATCTGCGTGGTGAGGCCCGCGTGGGTGAGGCCCGCGGGGGAGAGGATCCGCGTGGGAGAGGGTCCATCGGAGCTGGCCCGTGGTGCCCCGCAGCACCGTGGCCCACGCGCGGTCTCGGCGCCGTCTCACCTCCGCGCGTGTCCGCAGCTGAGTGCGGAGGCCGCGTGCACGCAGGACCGTCGGGCCGCATCCTGTCCCCTGGGTACCCGGCGCCCTACGACAACAACCTGCGCTGCACCTGGGTGCTGGAGGCCGCCCCGGGCCGCACCATCAGGTGAGCCCGCCCCCCACGAAGGACACGCGTGGGCCCCGCCCAGACCCTGCCCCGCCCCGCCCCGGTCCGCACCATCAGGGGAGCCCTGCCCTGCCATGCCATGACATGCGTGGGCCCCGCCCCGCCCCTTGTGGGCCTCTCCTGGCATGGTCCCACCCCTTGTGGCCCCGCCCCGTGTGGCCCTGCCCTGCCTTGTGGCCCCGCCCCGTGTGGCCCCGCCCTGCCCTGTGTGGCCCTACCCCGTGTGGCCCCGCCCCATGTGGCCCCGCCCAGCCCACCTGGCCCCACCCCACCCGCGTGGCCCCGCCCCACCCGTGTGGCCCCACCTGCCCCGTGTGGCCCCACCCAGCCCACGTGGCCTCGCCCTTCCCCCATGTGGCCCCACCCCGCCGACGTGGCCCTGCCCCGTGTGGCCCCCGCCCCGCCCCGTGTGGCTCCGCCCCACCCGCGTGGCCCCGCCCTGTGTGGCCCTCCCCTTCCCCCGTGTGCCCCGCCTGCGTGGCCCCACCCTGCCCCGTGTGGCCCCGCCCCGTGTGGCCCCACCCTGCCCTGTGTGGCCCTGCCCCACCCATGTGGGCCCGCCCCGCCCCGTGTGGCCCCACCCCATGTGGCCCCGCCCCACCCGTGTGGCCCCGCCCCGTGTGGCCCCCACCCGGCCCACGTGGCCTCGCCCTTCCCCCATGTGGCCCCGCCCTGCCCCGTTTGGCCCCGCCCCACCCATGTGGCCCTGCCCTGCCCCGTGTGGCCCCGCCCCACCCATGTGGCCCCGCCCTGCCCCGTGTGGCTCCTCCCTGCCTGCGTGGCCCCGCCCTGCCCCGTGTGGCTCCTCCCTGCCCGCGTGGCCCCGCCCCACCCATGTGGCCCCGCCCTGCCCCGTGTGGCCTTGCCCCACCCGTGTGGCCCCGCCCTGCCCCGTGTGGCTCCTCCCTGCCTGTGTGGCCCCGCCCTGCCCCGTGTGGCTCCTCCCTGCCCGCGTGGCCCCCGCCCCACCCATGTGGCCCCGCCCTGCCCCGTGTGGCTCCTCCCTGCCTGCGTGGCCCCGCCCTGCCCCGTGTGGCTCCTCCCTGCCCGCGTGGCCCCGCCCCACCCATGTGGCCCCCGCCCTGCCCCGTGTGGCCTTGCCCCACCCGTGTGGCCCCGCCCTGCCCCGTGTGGCTCCTCCCTGCCTGTGTGGCCCCGCCCTGCCCCGTGTGGCTCCTCCCTGCCCGCGTGGCCCCGCCCCACCCATGTGGCCCCGCCCTGCCCCGTGTGGCCCTGCCCCACCTGTGTGGCCCTGCCCTGCCCCGTGTGGCTCCTCCCTGCCTGCGTGGCCCCGCCCTGCCCCGTGTGGCCCCGCCCCGTGTGGGCCCCACCCTGCCCTGTGTGGCTCTGCCCCACCCGTGTGGCCCCGCCCTGCCCACGTGGCTCCGCCCTGCCCGGGTGGCCCCGCCCCACCCGTGTGGCCCCGCCCCACCCGTGTGGCCCCGCCCTGCCCCGTGTGGCCCCGCCCCGCCCCGTGTGGCTCCGCCCCGCCCGCGTGGCCCCGCCCTGTGTGGCCCTCCCCTTCCCCATGTGCCCCGCCCGTGTGACCCCGCGTGACCGGCCCCCCCCCCAGCCTGCACTTCATCGTGTTCGACACGGAGACTGCGCACGACACGCTGGCGGTGTGGGACGGGCCCGAGGACAGCACGCTGCTGCTGCGGGAGTGGAGCGGCTCCGCGCTGCCTGAGGACGTGCACAGCACCTTCCACGCGCTCACGCTGCGCTTCCACAGCGACTTCTTCATCAGCAAGTCCGGCTTCTCCATCCAGTACTCCAGTAGGTGCTGGGCGCGGGGAGGGGGCTGGGGTGGGGAGGGGGTGGCGGGGAGGGGTGGCGGGGAGGGGGCGCGGGGAGGGGGGGGCGGGGAGGGGGGGGCGGGGAGGGGGCGCGGGGAGGGGGGGGGCGGGGAGGGGTCGCGGGGAGGGGTGGCGGGGAGGGGGGTGGCGGGGAGGGGGAGCGGGGAGGGGGTGGCTGGGAGGGGGAGCGGGGAGGGGGGGCGGGGGGGCGGGGGGGCGGGGAGGGTTGGCGGGGAGGGGGCGCGGGGCGGGGAGGGAGCGCGGGGAGGGGGGGGCGGGGGGGCGCGGGGAGGGGGGGCGGGGGGGGGGGGCGGGGGAGGGGGGTGGGACAGGGAGGGGGGCTCGGGGAGGGGGTGTGAGGAGGGGGCGGAGAGAGGTGCGGGGAGGGGTGGGGGCTTGTGGTGCCCCCATGGGCCCTGCTGTGCCCTCTGCCAGGCTGCCGTGGGAAAGGGAGTCTGCAGGGAAGAAGGCCCGGGGAGGGAGGCTGGGGGGCTTCTT